GCAGAGCCCGTTCTGATCGGAATCCTAACACCTACCTACCTATCACGCCTCACTGACTGCCCTTCGCTGGCACCCTGCCCTAGTCCTAGTAGGCAGCAAAGACACCCGGCATCCAGCAGCGAACGCTTACATACCTACCTACCCTCCGCGTGCGAGCCACGCTGAGCGGACCACGTCCTTCCTGTGCCTTGAACCTGCCCTCCCCTCCCCCCTCCCGGTAGACGGCCGCGCCGGCGAGGTGCATTGCGTTTTTAGAAATACGTAGGTACACGACGCAGCGGACGGGCAGGCGGTTCCAGTTACGCGCTGGGCAGGAAAGTAGGCGAGCAGGCACGCAGAGGACGACGTCGTAGCCGCGAGGGCTAGACCGCGCACGTGAAATTGCACGCACGCGTAGACGTCCATCCGTACACACACATACCTACACACGCAGCCGAGTATACATGTGCGTATGTGTGTGTGGGACGGCCGGCTATCCACGCGGGTATACGGTGTTCCCGCGGCCGTCGAAGAAGACCGGCGTCTCGCTATGCCCGGGCCGCTCTGGCTGCCTCTCTGCCTCCCTGCCTCCCTGCCTCTCTGGCTGCCTGCCCTGCCTGCCTACCTACTCGCGACACACATGCGCACCCGGACTTAGACGCGACGCTCGCCCCGGCTCGCCTGCTGTCAGGTTAGGGGGTAGGTATGCGTACGCACTAATCTGCCTACTTATTAGGTACACCGACGAGGGGGGAGATGGCGAAGTAGCGAGACCGGCGCTTACCCCTTCGGCAGCGCAGCACATCCCTAGGTACCTAACCTAATACCCATCTAATACCGACCTACCTCTCATACACTTCTACATGGGTAGGTAGGTAGATACGAGCCCAGGGTCTTCTCGCCTCACGCCAACAACCTCGGCCCTTCCTCCCCCCATCTCTCTCTCTCTAGGTACATATCGCACCCGTGGCGATGACCGCGGCGATCTAGACGCACACGTAGAAGACAGTCCGCGCCGCGACCGGTAGTATCCATCTGCCGTGAGATGGAGATAGAGAAGGGGGAGGGAGAGGAAGAGGGGGGGGGGGGGGGCGGGAACGCTCCCTCTCTGACTTCTCGTCATCCTTCTTCTTCTCCAACGCCACATTCTCTTTGATAGGGTGAGCTAGATCTCCGTAATACGTACCTACACTAAGCAAACTCCTTCCCCCTCCCCCAAAAGCCCTAAAGCTGAGCAAGTCGCACACAACTTCGCGCCCCCGTGTGTCATTGGCGAGAGTTGGGCGCGATCGCAAGATCGTCGCGTGCTTTGCGAAGTGAGAGAACCCCCGGGTTCTGACTCGCTAGCTCTCTCTCTCTCTCTGTGTCCCCTTTCTGGGCATGTGAGTAATTGACACACACACACACCGGGGATAGAGAGGAGGGGGGTGGGTGGCTGGACCATCCGTGCCAGCGCGTTTGGATCCAGCCTATAGGTAGGTTATAGGCTCTAAATTCTTATTAGGAGGGAGGGGTAAGGTAGGGTAGGATGAAGGGGGGGCGGTGTTGAGACCCCTACCAATGTGCGTAGGTAGGTAGGTACCTATAGATAGGTAGGTTATCCGCCTCTTATTAGGTGGGTGTAGGCTATCCCCGACATCCCCCATCCACGGGTTCTCTTTACGTAGGAGGTAGGTACCTACGACGGAGTGCATCCATCCATCCATACCTACCCACGTACCCTCTATCACTGCTGGCCTACCTACCTACGTAGTGGTCAATAGAGGAGGCTAGAGGGATGTAGGCATACACTGAAGCCGGGTAGGGGGTGGCTTATCCCCGAGCTGGCAAAAGGCGCCTAGATGCGATAGGTATTATTATTAGGTAGGTAGGTTACCTGGGCGGAGGGGCGGGTAAGCAGCGTCGAAGGGGGGGGAAATGCGGTGACAAGCTGCGAGGAAGCGCGCGCGCTGGCGGACGGACCCCTCAGCCAGCCCCGGCCCACAGCCTCGCCACCTCCTTCTGCCTCCGCCTGCCTAAGGTTGCTTGCCCTGAACCCCTGCTCGGCTCCGATCCTTACGATACGGGTAACGTGGCGATAGCGCGGGTAAGATGGGATGAGGCGGGATAGGATAGCCTCGCACCACCCCTACCTACCTACCTTACTCATCGCAGGCCGGGGGGTGCATCCCTGGTCCGGCGGACGTAGAGTACCTACCTAGGTAGAGAGCCTCGGGCACGCGGGCGGGCGGGCGAGGTTGGAAATCCTCAACCGCGTCGTAGCGCGCAGTGGGCGGACGGTCATACGTATGGTCGGTGTGCCTAGCTTATTTGCACCGGTAGGCGGCAGGTAGGTAAATTACTCACTTACCTACCTACCAGCCCGGAGGCGCGCCATGGGGCGGATTCGCGAGCACGCTGATGGTCGTGGACGTCCCTCGCACACTAGGTACCTACCTACACACTAAGTATACACGCACAAACGCGCAAAAAGATAGGCGTACCTAGACAGAGAGAGAAAAAAGGGGAGAGAGGTAGGTATAGAACGAACCACATGACCTCCGCGGCATGCGGGAAAGCAAGCCCTACCTACCTACCTACCTACCTCTTGCGACCCGCCCTGTTGCGGCGCAAGCCCGTCGTAGGCAGCTATACCTACCCACCACTTCCGCCCCCCTCCTCTCTCTCTCGGCGGAACCTCACTTAGTCGACCGACGGACCAGGACGTCATACCGAGCGCCTCTCGCAGAGCGGCACGTGAGCGCCGACAAAGGAGCAGAGAGCACAAGGGTACCTCGCTCGCTCGGTAGCCGGTTGGGCTCGGCCGGGCTAGGCTTAACTCCCAACGGGTATGGCCAGTCCTGTCTACGTCCGAGCTCTCTCTCTCTCGCTTGCCTGCTGACGACAGACGAGCCGATCGGTCCACCGCGGGCTAGTGGGGGGGGGGGGGGGGGGATCTGTCTGATCTGAAGAATTTTTCCCTCGTACTTCCTTTCCCTTCCCTTTCCTTTTCCTTTTCCCCTTCCTCCTCGCTCCTTGTCTTTCCTAGACTGAAGGGGGAGGGGGGAGGGGGCGAGACGCGGTAATCTGCGGGGGGAGGCGGTAGGAGGATGACTGGCTGCGTACGTGGCTCGGGCTAGACGCTCGACGATGGCGGGGATGATGACAATGACCACGATCATCGTGATCAGCGCCCAGGTATATCGTATCCTCGCACCTCACACAAGCGGCGGCGGCGGCGGCGGACTCTCCCTCTCTCTCTCTCTCTCTATCGTGCGCAAGTCCGCCACGGAGGCGATATCGGATCCTAGAGCCTAGGACCTGGGGCATAGGGCAAAGGGGAAGCTGAGGGCCCTCGAGCGTCTCGTCATCGTTTCGCCGCGAGTGGGTGAAGGTGGGTCATCGCATGGCCCCTTCTCTTACTCTGCTGCAGCGCCAGGGGTGGCTTGCGACGACAACGACGACGATGATGACGAGGGGATAGGTTGTTTCCGTAAGCGTGTACGCAGAGGGACGGAGAGGGGCGGGGATGGACGGATTGGCGGATGTACGTATACGTGTGCAGGGCGGTATGGCTCAGCTCTCCTACCCCCCCTTATTGGTAATGCCAAACTATCTGCCTAATGACCGGGCTGATTCCGTGTAGCTTGGGCGTGGGCGTGACCGTTCCCGTGCTCATGCCTACCCACATCATCAGTCATCACCGTCGCCGTCGTCGTCGTTCGTCTTTCGTCGTTCGTTGTTCGTTTAACGGGCGCAAAGGGGCGAGTCCGTTCCGTCTCTCCCTCCTCCCGGCCTGCCTGTGCCCGGGTCTGTTCGACATCCAACCTCTCTCTACCTACCCACCGGCTTGCCACTCCTAGACGAATGCCAGACAGTCCGAGTGAGTAACCGGCGGGCAGGATGGCGTAGGGCGACCCCTGCGGCGGTCCACCAGCGACGGCATGCTTCGCGCGAGGATGAGTGCCTCGCCAGATCCTAATCTCCCGACGACGGACGAGGAGGGGGAGGGGGGAGGGGGCTGGTCGGCCTGTGACTCACAACGGAAAAGAAAGGGGAGGATCACGGCTGGAGAACCTAGAGGTGAGATCGGGTTTGGCGGGACAATATCGCACAGTACGTACAGTTCGCAAAAGAGAAATTCCCTTGCCCGTCTCACAGCGAGGTCCCAGATGCCGACAATACGTAGTTAGTCAGCGACGAACATACCCGCATGCAGCTACCCACACCCGCTCTCACTCTGTTCGAATACGGCGGGACCTGTGAGACTCCTGTGGGAGTGTGTGTGTGCGTGTATGAAGGAGTGAAACGGGAGAGGGGGGGAACACACTTAGTGTCCCCTTTTCTCTCCCCGGCTGACTCACGCCGAATCCACGCCAACCAGCCAGCGAGAACCTGCACGGACCGCTGCTTCGGCGGCAGAGGGAAAAGGAAAGGAATTCTATCGAATTCAATACTTCCTTTATTCTGATTGTGTCGTGATCGTGCCTCTCAAGCCCCGGCGTGACAGGCAAGCAAGCACTGTCACTCTTACTTAATAACAACCGTACGGAACTGACACCATGATAATCCTAGTCCCCGCATGCCTAATAGCCGACGGCGACGACGAGCCATCGTCAACCGACTTCCTCTACCACTCCGCCCTCGGCAACCTCCAACAGGTTGCCTGGTTGGATAGGTGAACCAGGCACTGGGCATCTGTGTAAGTGCATAAGGTAAACTGCCTTCTTATCTACGTACCTAGATAGGTGACTAGACGCGAGAGGGAATCGCGACATATTAAGTGGTCTACAAGTATTAGTCCACATGTACCGTAAGAATTACGCACGTCTATAACTATGGTCATAAAACATATAAACCTAGGTATAGGAACCAAGACAAGGCCCCGTGAGCGCCATAGTTGTCAATAGAAGTCTAACTTTGAAGGTAATTTGGATCGAAGGGACGGGGAATTAGACAATACTGCCATTTAACAGTAAGCAATACCATGTGTCGAATCGGGGGTGAAGCCCAAGTAAATTGCCTTGAAAAAAAAGTCTGGTGAACGGAGTGAATTAATCAGAGATTCCTGACTCTATACACAATGCGCCCCCCTCCCCCCTCTAGCAGCTATCTACATAGAGCTGCCCTTTCATACTAAGCAACTGAGTCGTCTTTAGAAACTGCGGTTTGCTATGAAGCTGCGGGCTTTCTCAACGATGCAGAACTACTGAGAGGGGTTGAGACGACAACAGATCTACCAGAATTTGCAAAATAGTCGGTTGAACCAACCACATTTACCACTGCTCCTCCTTTTCGTCGTCGTTGGCACCCTCACCCCAGGTTCCGGTGCCCCAACCATCGCCTTCAACATCTCCGTCACCCACTCCCTCGCCATCACTAGCCTCGCTATTGTCATCTTCGATCTTGAAGTTGGCTGGATCGACGCCCTCGGGGATGTACTCCCGGAGGAAGTCGGGGACTTCTTGCTTTGTCTCCATCAGAGTCATGACAAGCTGCTGAGCGATGGGCTCGTCGCGGTCGGTGTAAAAAGATGTTGCGAGGCCCGTAAATCCGATCCGGCCCGTTCGACCTATCTTCAACGTTAGGGGCTCAAGCCGTCATACCGCTGCTACAACAGCTAGTGTACTGCTTACCAATACGGTGAATGTATTCCTGGATGCCGCCGTGATCCATGCTCGGGAGGTCATAGTTGATTACGTGCTTCACGTTGCGCACGTCGATACCACGGGCAGTCACACCAGTCGTGATGAGAACAGGCGACTTTCCACTGCGGAAGGCCCTCATCGCATCCTCTCTCTCACGCTGGGTGCGGTCAGAATGCATCGAAGTGCACGGCCAGTTTCTCTGGAAGAGATAGTCGTCGACCTCGTCTGCCGTGCGCTTATTATTGACGAAGATGATTGTTCGGCCGGGCGGGGCCGAAACGATGCGGTCGTGGAGGGCCTGGTTCTTCAGGTGCGGCAACACGAAGATGACATCTTGCTTGATATTGGCATGAGTGCTGCCGATACGACCGACACGGATACGGACGTGCGACTCGGACAGATGTGATTTGGCTAGCTTTCGGACGGGCGCAGGGAATGTGGCCGAGAAGAGCATGTATTTCACATTGCCCTCATCTTGTTCTGCCCTTAACATTAGCGGCGCGTCTTAACGTACCTACAATAGGGGCGTATAAACTTACCTCCACCAGACATGATCTTGTTGAGCTCGACCTGCCAGTCCACATCAAGCATCTCGTCGGCTTCGTCGATCACCATATACTGGATTCGGCGAAAACTCAGCACATCCGACCGCTCCATCATATCCACGAGGCGGCCCGGGGTGCCAATGAGAATGTCGCAACCGTTCTGGAGCTGGACTCGCTGCTCCTGGTGGGGTCCGCCACCATATACAACGCATGGACGAAGCATGGTACGATAACAGAATTTGCGTGCTTCGTTGAAGATCTGAATTGCCAACTCTCGGGCCGGACAGATGATCACGACAAGTGGCTCGGCTCGGACTGGTCGGGCAGTTCCCTCCACGCGCTCCTTGACGCTGGGGCGCGGAGCAGCAAGTTTCTTGGCCTTGCCCATCAAGTGACTTAAGATTGGCACGAGATAAGCGGCGGTCTTTCCGGAGCCTACGATAGAAACGTCTATGTCAGCGGGAGGGGGCCCATATAGTTGCAATGTTTGAGTAGACTCGAGATACTCACCAGTCTGGGCGATCGCGATCAAGTCATGGCCTAGCTTGATAGCGGGAAGTGCGTACTTTTGGATCGGTGTAGGATCCTTGTAACCGGCCATCTCGACATTCTTCAACATGACTGGGTGAAGGCCGGCTTCCTCAAATTTCCAGATGGGACGGATACGCGTGATACCCTCCTGAGTGACGTTAATCTCGGCGATGCTGGTATGGTTAGTCTGGCGTCGTCGCGTTATATTCTCCGTGAGGAACGTACGCAGAGAAGTCAAGGCCGGCGCCTTCTCGCTGCTCAACGGAGCCGAAAAGCTGCTTCTCAAGCTCAGGAATCTCGGGGCCAACCTCGCCCATCTCGCCATCCCACTCATACACCTGGGCGCTGCTTCCCCACTCGCGGTTAACATCCGACTCAGTGTAGTCGTAGGGCACGGGATCGCCCCAGCCACTGGGAGGCCGAGAAAGCTTTGGGACTTCAGAAGCAGAAGGTGCAGCACCCTCAACAGCAGGTGGAGGGGCATCCTGGGTGGTGGATGGAGCAGCAGGTTCCTTAGGCAGGGCTGCCTTCAATTCGGCCACACTCCAGTCATCCATCTCGGTCGAGGTTTGATGAATTGACGAGTTGTTTCGTGAAGTCTGGAAAGAAGTTAGCTGGTTAGCCCGGGCTGAAGACCTATGGGCTACTGCTCTTGAGGGTTGTTGAGAAGCATGAATCCAAAGGATGGTGATGAGAGATCGAGAAGTTGGCTGTGTGAGCTCATGGGGGTAAAGGGCCACTAGGGTTTAGCAAAGGAAAACGCGTTTGTCTGCGTCCCAGATGAGATGACAACAAAGTAAGTACACAAATAGAAGGTGTGTGATAGATTGGCTCACTGGGCGAAAAGGACCAGCAATCGCACAAACCTGGTCGGCCGGGGATCTTGTGCGTGTCCAACACAGGGCTGAAGGATGCAGGTTGGTAAGCTGGTATGGTGTATCAAGGGTAAAAACATAGCACTGGGCTCTGTAGTAGCAAGAGGGGTGAAGTAGGCCACAGTTAGGAATAGACAGAGTAGAGGAGGGGTGGTAACGACGTTGTTGTCGCTGGGATGACTCATGCTGGCTGTGTGATACTTACCTGACACCGGGAAGGGTGCTTGATTTCAAGTGAGTAGGCGGTTGGGATTGTCGGCACACAGATTCTCCCGGGCTGCAGCCTTGGGGTGCTCGGATGAGAAAGCTGTTCTGGCAAGGTGAACAGCGAGAGGAGAGGGGGAGAAGACGGGGGTGATCGCGGGAGGAGAGGAAGCGAGAGGCAGGTGGTTGATAAGAGGACCCTATTACCTAGAATCCTGCCAAGTGCATCAGCTACCAGGAGTAAGCTAGCAGCGTCGGGGTTGCCTAGGTCGATACTGGGCGGTATCGAGGGTAAATAAGGTGAACGCGATACTGGGTGTCGCTATCACGGACATCTGTTTATAGGAGAGAGAAGGGGAGGCTCGGGCGGGAGAAGGGGGGACGGAAAGATGACGTCTGGCACGTCCAATATGCTCTTGCCTCGGGTGGACGCGGAGCACCTTCCATATTAGCTATTGCATATACTACCAAGGTACTTACGTCTAGGAGGCAGGAGAAGGAGGCAGGTAGCTAGATAGGAATTGTACTTGCCTCCTCGAGGGCAACTGCACATTGCTACCTCAGCCGAAGCGTAGACGACAATGTTGAATCCCCCTTATATTCGAGGACCTGCCTACCTAGACCTACCTACCTAGGTACCGGAGGTATCTGCCTCCAAACCTGCCTGGAGGTAGGTACGAAATATTGCATATATAGGTATATATATAGGTGTATATATATGTCCGGATGCCTTTGGTAGGTACCTACCTATCTACCTATGTATGTATCTACCATTGAGTAAGTAGGTATCGAGGGTAAGTGGTGGGTGTGTGTAAATAAGGGGTAGGCATCTACATAGGTAGGTAGACAGGCAGGTATGTAATAATAGTATGTAATAATAGTATGTAGTAATATATAGCTCCCTTTGGGGCCACGCCTGCCTGGCTTACTCGCCTCCCATCTCAGAAGACAGGCGTGATCCAGACACGAAATCAGGGCCGGGATGGGAAAGGACAGCCAGGTACTCGAGAGGCACGCCGCTTCCTCTGCCCCGTACGTGGTAACAATAATATATTACAGCGGATGATGGCAATTAGTAGGTTAGGTACCTACCTCTATTGGCAGTTCGTTGGTGGTACCTAGTTACGGCGGTGCTACAGGCGTCACCCTGTCAGGAGAGAGAACGAGGCACCCTTCATCGTAGGCTTCTTCTTGTTATACGAGACTGCCCTAGAGGCCGTCCCCTATTCGGTTACGCGGGATCATACCGATGGGTCTTCTATAATATCGTCCTGCCTTCCCCGAGGTGTTGTAGCTCCTGGCTGCCAGACTTCCCTCGGCACCTCTATGTTCAAGTCGCCAATCCCCAGCATCTCGTAGGATCCAGCATGGGCGGCCGAATTATCAGTCTGTCTAGCGCTGTCTCGCTGCCGATATCGTCGCACCCAGCTCGAGATGGGACACTTCGCAAGGGGTCGGATACGCACGCAGGAATCCTTGGACAATTCGAGAAACCTGGGGACATATTTAACCCAGAAAGCCCAGAGCATAGGTGCAGAGCCTACCGCCAGGCCCACGGAGTTTTCGACGTCGCTGTTAGAGACACTTAGCCCGTTTCCCTTAGCGATTAAGACGGTCAAACGAGAGTGCTTACAACATAATGTCTGCGGCAACGACATTGGTAGTGCCTGCTTTGTAATATAGAGACACTGTAGAGGCAGCTATACCGCTAGAGACTAGAGTTACCTAGAAGTTCCGAAACGAGAGTTGCGGTTCGGATGGACACCTTGGAAACTTGGCGAGAAATCGAACGTACAGTAAGCCTGAGAAGAAGACGACGTAAAGGCCAATCTTCTTAGGTCGGGGAAGTTGAAGGCGGAAGATTATAGGCAAAGGAAGGGAAAGAATTATTATATCGGTGGTGACAGATACGATGCCGGATACCGCATTAGTCATTACGACCGCTCGAGCGCAGGGGACAAGCGACGCCTCGGCGGCGACGTCGTCGAGGGGGCACCCGACTAGGGTAAAAGCCAGCGAGCCAAAGTATACCAGGGCAGTTATAACAAGCATGGCGTACGAAGAGTGCCGCATCCACCGATGGACGCCGAAGAGCCTTAAATAGAGGAAGAAGATGGATGCTTTTATGGACCACGTGGTGAGCTGTGTGAAGACTTCGATGATCACTCCGGACTGCAAAGACACCGTATTAGCATTAACCGTGGGCTAAAATACTAGGAATTCATCACGATCGGCCCCGTTGCTCACCTGAAAGTGTTGGTCGACGGAATAGCTCGGGTTCGACAGAGCTAATATTCTCATTATACTCAACACTACGCCCATTGAACGTTTCCAGCTGACCCTTTTGGCTGGGGGGGGTTGGTGCCTTACCCCTGAATTCTACACCGTTGAGCGCAGAAGTCGTCGTCAAGAAAAGCGCGCCCAAGATCGAGGTATCTAGAAGGTTTTAGCTTGGCCCAGCATGTTCACAACAATCGCTAATAGGAGAGGCTCAACACACAGTCGTCTATGCCCAGCCTCTGTTGCTGTTTGAAGTCGACAAAGCATCGTATCGAAACGAGAAAAGCGGTGGTCGTCACAAGAGTTATTTCTATTCCTATCAAAACTTCAAATTCGGCGAGAGACACGGAAAAGTCCGACATGCTAGGATCGAGAGAATAAAGGGCAGATACCGTTCTCCAGGGCTCGACGTCGACCGCGGGGTGCTCAGAGAATCAACGTCGCAGTCTCTGTGCTCTAGTCGGTAAGCCGTAGATCTAACCGCTGTGTTGTACGCGAGGTCGCCTCGAAGTGTCTGGCGGGGGTTCGAGCTTGATTGGCAGGGCAACAAATAATAACGGGAGGAGAGGGCCTCAGGACTTAGTATTAGTAGAAAGATGGTCATGAACGCGCACCCCCTATTCTATTTAAGGAACCGAGAAACTGCCTGGAGAGCGAGAGGTGGGGGGAATCTAACACCCACTGGTCATATCTCGGTGTTTCGTACATCAATACGGTGATAATACAAATCTAGCAGCGAGGTCAGACGTGGTTATTATGTAGGCTGGCACATACTATACTACGCCTGTAGATCTTCAACCGTTGTGGCCTGGTATTAGTCGGCTTACCGTCTGCAGACTACCCTCGAACCCTACCTGTACGACACCTAACGTCCAATCTACTGTCATTGCAGGCCTGCGAGAGGCCATGACCTTAGCTTGACGGGCGCATAAATCCTCAGGGTACCATTAGACTTCTTCGTTTTCATTTCGCAACAGGCTCGGACCTTATGGCACCGGAGTGAGACCGAGGCCGGACGGCCAACTGGCTCCAAGAACACTACCTAGGGCCCCGGGACCGAGTTTCGAATGGTCTGCGTTCTCCGAAAATCGCAGGTTAGTGTAATGATATAATGCCAGTAACCCGGTGGAGATCTTGAGATTTCTTTGTGGATATACCTATATTCCAACAAGTAGCTTCGACTCTTCATAACAGAAATTACATACCTAGGTATAACCGCTCTCCTCCGAGCCGCTTCTTGGACCCCAGTAGGAGTTGGTTGGGGTTTGCCCAGGAAGAAGGGGGGATAAGACCGGTCAGCGGCATTCGCCATCCACCCTCTCCCCTCTCGTGGTGGGGGTTTCCTCCGGTCCGAATTCTTGAAGCAGCGCCCGGAGCCTTAACATCACTTACGTATTTCCGTTGCTTGCAGAAACCGATACATTCGAGGCCAGCTCTTGTCCCTTTCTTGTACGGCGTTTTCACACGTGGATATTTCCTCATAATGCACAAGAACCCATGCAACCGTTGCACCTGGGAAAGACTAGAAGTATTAACGTATTGACGCTTAAGTGAAAGGGAGGCTATGAAGTGCAATAAGATTCCGAGTAATATAGTGGGCCGCAACCTGGCTGTCCATTCCGTTTCTTAAGTTGACTTCCTTAGCTGGGCAGTAAGCAATCGGGATGAGTTGGAAATCGTCCCGTTGACACAACATGACTGGTAATACCTAATCTATAATCCAGTTGTAGACCGCTACAAGTCTGTCGACGAGAATAATCAACTATGGGATAAAAGTCTAATCAACTCTTTCATATATCCATATATATTAGCTCATCAAGGCTCCTATTGCGACTGCTCTTCGCCGTAGAGCATCATATGACGCAATTTGGGTACCGCGGGACAAATCTAGGGCCGTCGGCAGGGTCGCGGGCATCTATCTACATGACGTACCCATCCCACAAGCCCTGGTCCTCGTCATCGAGCCGCGCGCCGCGCTCATAGTCAGCCATACCGTCCCTCAGGACCTGGTCGAGAGTCGCCGCCGTGCGGCCGGCCGCGCCGCCCTCACGCTTGGCCGCATCGACGCCCGCGTCCACGGCGGCCCGGAAGCGCCGGTCGAAGACGTCGCGCCGGTCCTCGCGCGTGCGGTACGCCTCGCCGTCCTCGTCGCGCGCCGGCTTGAACAGGCCAAGATATCCGAACGGGTCCGACGCACGCGGCGCGCGCGCGATCCCTTCGAACCAGTCGCCGGGTCTCCACGCAGCCGGCGTCCCTGCCCGGTGCCCCGCCTCCAGGAACTTGGCTAGCACGAGCATCTGTCGCGGGAAGGACTGCCCGTACTTCTTGGCGCCAAATGTCGTCCGCGGCGCCGACGTCCACCCACCCTTTGCGGCCGTCACGGTCGGTGCCGGCGCGCCCGTCGTCCACCACCCCAGCACCGACACAAAGTCCTTGAGCGGCTTGACCCAGCAGCCGGCGCCGGACACTACGTCCTCGGCGGCGACGTCGAGCAGCCACTCCAAGTAGCTGAGGCCGTCATCCTTGACCTCCTGCGAGATGTTGGTCATGGCGCCGCGGATGTACAGCATAATGCGCTCAACGTGGGGCCGAACCTCATCCGCGGGCAGGTGTCGCAGCAGCCGGAGTAGTTGGCCGCGCACGGCGCCCGACGAGTCGGACATGATGGGAAGCAACTTCTGTAGCAGATTCGAAGTGCCGACAGGATTCATCGGCGGGTTCGTCGACAGCTGGCTTGCGAGGTACGACAGAGCATCACGGCGTTGGTTATCGGCACGGGAGGTGGTGAGAGAGAGGTAGTGCTTGAATCTGTCTACGGGATTCGGTGCATCCTCCGCCAGCTGCTGCTGCAAGACGATAGCTAAGACATTGAATCAGGATATTGCGCTTCAAAGGATAAAATACTGGTTGTCTCGATACCTTTGGATCTGAAGCTCGTATCTGTGAAGTTAGAGGCCTTCGGCTTGGCCTTGCCTACTTTTAACTTGGGCTTCTGGAAGTCCTTTCTCTTTTCCTTCTTCTTCTTAGCGCTGGAGCCCATCTTGACTCGACCATTGGGACAAGCGAGACTCAGTACAAGGAAGTCTCCTTTTCCTTGCGCCGGACCAGTGGTGCGATATTAAGATCGGACTTGGAAATAGGTTGGTACTGATAACATTCTGGGATTATCTCTTGCTGATCTAACTTTTAAGCGGTGACTAACGGCAGAATCTTTCCTGCCGTATTGGAGTACCTAGGTAGGTACCCACCTAGGTCGACTGTGTTCATGTGTGGCGCATTTGGTAACGAGCCTCTGTGGCTGAAGCTATCGCTCTATGAGATACCCAGATAAGGCATGCTCAGATAAGGCGCCTGTTCAGATCTCCTCTTAACAACCAGAGTCAACAAACCAAATCGCAATCGTCAACAAGACGAGCATCAGCTCACACCCCTCCATAGCGAAGACGAACCTCCCGTTAAAGCCGCAAGCGTGAGATACTAAAGTAAACCATAAGAGAGGCGATTCCAATCCTAGACCATGTCAGAGAGACCACAGGTGAGCTTTCACCCTCTCCTCCACCTTTTCTCTCGATCCAACTTGCATGGGATGCCGCCCACCAGATATCTACCTACCTCCACGGCCCACGACGACGACCCCTAGAAGTAACTCCCCGCCGTACTAACCCGGCACTGGCAGCAGCCCTCCGCCGCCTCCGCCGCGGCCAACGCGGACAACGTAGACGAGGCGCTGCACCGTATGTCGAAGAAGCCTGGCGTCAAGGGCTGGCTGATGCTGGACCGCGCGGACGGTACACTCATCAAGCACAGCAGCCAGATTGCCACCGTCCGGCCCGCGCGGTTGTCATCCGCCGCCGCCGGGGGCTCCAACGGCCTCGGCGGCGACAGCGCGCCGAATAACGACCTCCCCATGAGCCCGACCGTCGCTAGCGGCTCCTTTTCATCCGACATCGGCTCTGGCACCACACCCGGCGCTGGGGCCGCAAACGACGACGCGCAGGCCGCTAAGGAGCTTGCCGGCCTGGTATGGAGCCTGGTGAGCGTGGCGGGGAAGATGGTTGACGATGTTGATGAGGAGGTAGGTCGATTCGTTGCTCCCCTTGTAAACCAGCGCCCAGGTTGTTGTTGTTGGGGGGGGGGGGGGGGGGGACAAAGGAGGGAGCGAATGCTAATCATATTTTCCCTTGCCAGGACGAGATCAAGCTCCTCCGCCTACGCACCAAGAGGCAGGAATTCGTCGTTGTTGTGGAGCCCAAGTACCTCCTCATCCTCATTCACCACACACCTCCGATCTGATCTGTCGAGTTGAGTTCCCTCCAGGGACGGAGGAGAGATGGCCCTCAGCCGGACTACTAAATGGGCCGGCCATCAAACTTCCCCCTCACGCTCTCCTAAGCAACGGTCTTCGAATCTTCTTCCCTTGTCTTTCCGAGTTGGCATTACGTGTATGGTGTACATACGGGGGCGTTAGGGCGGCGTTTTGGCCTGTAGAAAAAAACTCATGATACCCAAGATCGATTGGTAGGAACACAGGATAGCGAGAAGAAAGGGGGGAGGTTTCACGATAGCGATTTGCTATTAGTTCGGTTTGGTGAATGCGTCATCGCATGCCATGTGCGAGCCGGCAGGGAATCATATGTGTATATCTCCGTCGTTGCATATACATACACACCTAGGGTATACCCGTTGAACAATTCTGTTTATTTGATATACCTATAGCATTAACATAATACTGTTAGATTGAAGCAATGGTGGCGTTTACGTGAGCTAAACGACGGTTCACACAGCGATGAGTCTACGTCCTCTAGAGGAGCTTGAGGGCCCACAAACCCCTTTTCTTCTTGCCACAACCGCCGCCGGATTAAGGAACCGCCCAGTTTGGTGGCGGGTATCCAACATGAAAACCTTCAAATCTCCCTATGATTTCTATCTGCGCGGAGCCGTAGTCGCGTTCTAGCGAACGCCAAGTCGAGTCTCACCACTCGTGTCGTACTGATGTTTCGAAAACAAGGTAAATCCGTGCATGCTTCGGCATGTCTTTCTCTCCTCTTTTGTTTTCTCTCTCGAATCCGTCGACGGATCTCTCGCACACGTAGGCGAGGAGACGGATCGACCATTGACGCGATGGTAGTCCCATGCCTCTCTAGCTACCACAATGGGTTTCTTAGGCGAGAGAGGCAGGGAAGGAATCTGCGAGACAGAGTGTTCTCATCGTTTTGAGTTCGCGAGCGGGGGTGACACCTGTGAAAGCAGCTAGGCGACCCTCCAGCCACTCTCTTCACGGCTTCCATGTTGATATTGCTGGCACATGTGACGGGTCGTGAGCTAGCATCGGGATCATCACCGTCATCATTGTTATGCGAGCTATAACTAGGCCGTCGACGGATTAGGTGCTGAGGAAAGAATCAAAAGTACCTAGCGGTCGTGTTTGGAGCGAGAAGTACACCGCCAGGGACGGAGGCGTGCTGAATCAGTGTGTGAAACCCCTAGCCGCGGACCCATACTCCCGGCGTTGAAGATCGATAGATGGAGGGACAGGCTTAGCTATAGCGCCGCAGCAAGACGATAAGCGCGAGAGGTAGGATCCCGACATTCGGGCGAGTCGGGCGCGTAGAATTGCGCCTCCTTGATAGCCTCAACTAGTGAGATCTGTGGCTCGGAGCCTCGCCGAGATGCTTTGTATCGGAGGCCTCGCCTTGCACGCGGTTGTAGGTAGGTAGGTAGCTATGTGTGCGTGTTCCCTGTGCCCTATGTGCATACATACATTGCATCGGAAGCTCCTCGCGAGCCGGCGCGACTGCGGTGGATGAAACGTGTCTTGGCTCTCAGAATGTGTAGTAGCGAGACCGCAGCGCAGGCCCGAGGTCGAACAGCCGTATCATGCAGTCGCGTGCAGCATGGCGCACATGTTGCTTTCAGCCTCTTTCCCGCCGGCTTCAGCCACGCTTGCGACCCTCCCTGCCTCTCATCACATCACCACGACCATCCGCATCTCCCGAGGCCTGTCGCGTCGGATTGTGCCAGTTCCGGCCCGCTGTCCTGTATAGCCTCAGTCTGAGGAGGGGCAAAGCCACAGGCCGCTGGGTTGATATCAGGGAATGAGTCTGGCGAGAGAGGGTATCTCGGACACGCGCATGCATAGGACAAGCCCGCTTGCATTGCCGTGATTTGAGGACTACTTGTCTTACAGTAGCGGGATTTTGTGTGTGGGACGATGCATCGGGCAAGCCTGCTTGCTGCGTGTGTAGGCTGCCGCCGACGCGTTCCTGCGTATCCAGGCTGACCGACCACTGTTATACAGGGCCTTCCTCAGGATGGCATTTACGGGGCAGATAACTCGGCCGGTCGATAAGCTGACAACTGAGGCCTTTTTGCATATCCGGAGAGCCTCGTCCAGCAGTGAGATTCGGGTCCAACTTGACAGATGTTTCAGAGGAGGCAGGCTGACCTGCCCACAAGACGTACCCATCTCGGAATAAAAATACCTACAATTCTACAATACCTCTTCTTCGGTACCCAATTCTCACACCTGTATAGGATGCTTAGGATGGTATACCCAGACGTACCTAGCAGCAGTATGAAACCCGCCCGAGCTAGGACATCGCTCTGTAAATTAGTGACGAGACGCAACCAAAGAGCGGGATTGATACCACGACCCCATAACAAGTCATTACCGACCGAGAGGGGGGAGATGACTCAATAATTCATTTCACTGCCACGGTAGGAGCGCAAAAACAACAACAGCCGAATTCGCCGACGACGTCCTTTGACGAGAGTGTGTAGGTTGAGGATCTCAGCGTTTCAGCTGATGTTATTCAGCACGTCTTATATAGATTAACGTAGGTATACGTTGGCGTATCTGGCCGTACCAGACTGAAGCTCGAAATAGGCAGGATAATTTATTTTATTCAGCCTCGGGCGGAAGGTATACGTCGCGTAAACACGGCGCAGCACCGCGCTCGATCAATGAGCGTGTTTGTTGTGAAATTCGAGGACCGAGTTGGACAGAATTCGAACAACTGTCGTAGGCTTGACACGTTTCGACGTTTCATATAGAAGTATGTCGCAATAGCGATAACGGGACAGTCACCCAGGTCCAGAGAGCAGCTCGGGGCCGTCGGCTGGATCCTCCAGACACCATGGAAGTAGCATGCTTCGAGAAATGCTGCTAAGTGGAACACAGACGTCAACCGCGTCACGCAGAGCGCCCACGCAGAACTGACGGCTTGAAACCAGCTGCTCGGCCGACGTCCCGACGGAGGTGTAAGAAGACATACCGCATTGGGTTGCGGTCGGTGTGGTTGTCCACACAAATACAGCACACAGCCCGCCCCAGGGCCGAGCAGAGGATACGATGCATTTGGTCTCGGAGCTTGATAAGCTGCCGACAGAAACTGTGATGGCGAGGAGCGGGTTTCCCTTCCTGGGGAACCACGGGAATTTCCCTTGTTGTGTGGCCCACTCGACCTCCGAGATCTGAGAAGAGCGAAGACCACTTGAAACAATCCAGGATGCACGAGATAGCGAGCCTACCGGCTGATTAAGTATCTTAGCTCATCCATGGCTGCATGGGGGTGTCTGCCCCCGTGGTGCAAATCTGACGGGATCCATCATGGGTTACGACGCCCGGCACTTTTCGAGGCTAGCCCGGCGGTTCGTGGCATCATTCATATTGCAGATGGTCCCGAGCGAAGCCTTGTACTGCCCTTCCCCCCCGGGGGGGGGGGTGTGTATCTTGCGCAGATAGATCGAATGTTCGAAACGGGAGGCTAGGATGGACGGATACCTTGGAACACCTCGGGTCTGTCTGCTTCTCTCTCTTTATCTCTGTCACTTTTTGAATAATAATACGACGGGGCCGCCCAGGCTAATCCGGTGTGGTCCCCTCTTACTCGGTTGTATGAGGTGAAATCTGCACGAGGGCCAACGTCCCAAAGACGAATAAATTGCCTGGCCTGCCAGCACCACCCGGCCTCTCATCGTCCCCGTCGACTCAACTTCGACAAGTTGCTGGCTTGGCGACGATTCGTACGGCACAATCATACCAGGACAGCGAGCTGGCTCTGCAACCTCGATGCAAGTAGCGCACAGCGTGCCGCCGGACGTGCCGTTCGAGGCGTCCTCGAACGGACGAAGACCGGAAGTTACAAGGATGCCGTCGCTGGCGGACCTCAAACGATCAGCACACGAGTTCATCACCGAGATCAAGGAATCGAAACATAGCACCGGCCACCTCCGACACAAGCGGAAGCCCAGCACTAACATCATCCGCGAGCTGATACGCGGGCCCCGGGAGGAGGACGGCAGCAACTACACGCAGCCGACGCAAGCTCACAAGAGGATACTACACAAGCCTACCAGGTCGCTCAGCAGGAGACTCGTCGACAGCGGACGACGAGATAGAGAGAAGAATGGGGGCTGGGGCGGAGATCAAACCGGGGATCGGGAGAGGAAGACGAGCAAGAGGACCGGATGGAATGGCTGGAAGAGTAGGGATGCATCAGGTACGGGTGCAGATGCAGGTGCAGGCGTGGGCGGAGGCGTGGGTGCAGGTGTAGGCGCGGGTGCAGTCGCAGGCGCGGGTGTGGGCGTGAGCGTGGCCGTGGGCGTGGGTTTAGGTGCGGGTGTCTTCTGGAACGGGGCGGAGAAAGCCAAGGCCAGCGCATCATCACGAACACGACCGGCGGCGGTCGCCACGACACAGACCAAGGCAGCAGGGTCCTCTTCATCCGCGGGACGATACCCTCTGCTGCCTCTCCCCAGCAATGTACGTGTGCCTCTCTCCTTAGGTAACATCTCTCTCGACCCAAACCACCATCCCGAACCCCCCCGTCTCGACTCCCCCCCCCTCGTCCCTATCCTCCCCTGCCCCGACTACCCTGGCTTCCCATGCTTCAGTCCGGAATACATACCTACATATCCTTTTTTAGATATCTACCTATACCGCACCAGTCCTTCCCCCTGTCTCCCCCCCATACTCCTTCTGGGGTTACGTGTGGGTGTGGACCTCCCTCCCCACCCACACATATCACCAGGCAACCTACCGCGTATGTACCTAGGTACACGTAGGTGCGTATCCCCTATCCCCTTTGGGATTCTGTCACCTGGCAATCACCCGGATCTGTTGCTACTACCCACCACCGGCGGCTAGTGCCAGCTGGTAGCCCGACCTGCCGCGCCTCGGCGATGGGGAGAAGGAAGTACATGCATACATAGCCGTATGAAGGTACCTGCTTTACGTCTCCAAGTCGCCTCGAGTCAGGTCGATTATCCCACCCCCTCGTTCTCGCTCCGTCCATCCTCTTCAATAGAGGTGTTACAGTGCCTCCCTACCTTACTGCTTTACCTGTCCCCCAGACCTACATGGTGTACGCCACATTGCATTTCCCGTCTGCTCCTTTGTGCAGTTCAGTGAGGGGAGCGGGGAGGAGCGTTGAAATAGGACGGGGGCCCCTAACGAATGGCCTCGTCTTATGACCTCAGCTGATCAGTGGTCTCTATGTGGCTCCCTGTCTGCATGAGCTGTTTTCTTTTTTTCCTCCACCCCTTTTCCCCCCAATGATCTCTTTCCCTCTTGTCGGAGTCTACCTAGATAGTTTCTAGTTTCCCGGCCTTCTCGAGGGGTACTACTTGTATGTCGATGTTGGTTGGGACGCCCTAAAAGCCACCGCATCGAGTCTCGTCTTGGCCTCGTCCTCACTGCACGTGCTGTCTTTACTTTCCGAGCCATCGCGAAACCAAACCAAGCCTTTTGCCTCGTCTCAATAGAAAACTGACCTCTCCTGACCTCCCCCCTGGCAGACCTCGAGTTCTAGGGCATCTTCTTCCAACAAGCCGGTCTCGCCACGCTCGCCACGCTCTCTCAACTCCAATAAGCCGTTGCCGTCTCCGCCTCCTCCGGGCACGATCGACAAGGTCGATGGCAGGCCTCGCAGACCCGTGTTGAAGCTCGACCGCATCATGGCAGCCTTGACCGATACGGAGATTGAGAAGCTCTTCTCCGGCGCGCCGCAATTCTTTGCTCGGTCTCAGGGCCATGGCTCCGGCGCCCCGCACCCGTCCGTGGCCTTCCCGTGGAATGAAGAGCTGAGCATCCGTGACTTGACGGACCACACCCAGATCGGCGATGCCGCTTGGGGTTGCCTCACCGCGGTCCCGCATATCATCCAGCGGGACCCCATGGCCGTGTCATCGCCCTCTGCTAAGAGGCGGCCGCACTTCAATGCGAGGTGTCAGGAGCGGCCCAACATGCTCAGCATGCAGGGCCTGGAGAAGGGCTCCATCGGCTACCAAGCTGCCCTGGAGATTTCTGTTGCCGACGCGCTCCAGGAGGAGCAGTACGGCTTTAACAGCCTAGGCTCGAAAGGCCGCGTCATTGTAGAGCAGCGCCAGAGGCTCATCGCCTCGAAAGACGGGCTGCGACATATGGACGACTCCGGCATCATGGAGCAGCTGATCCGAAACGAAGAGAGGTACGAGTCCGGGCGGAGAGACGCCCAGGCGAAGTCGCAAGAGCTCTACAACGAACTGTTCACCAAAGTCCTTTTCCCGCCGGCCAAGGTCATCGATACCAAGGATCCTCACAGCCTATCCGTGCAGATCCACGCGCTCGTCAAAGTTCTCGCGGCCCCGAATGCCTGGATTGACTTTTCCCGGATCGAGTGGAGGATTCGCCTCGGCCAAATTTTGTGGGGTTTTCCCTTGGATGACGAGCTTTATGACGGCTCGGGCATAAATGAGGGGAACGACGCGCAGGATCGAAGCGAGGAGCGCTATTGGTTGCTGCTCCAAATCCTCATAGCCTGCGAGCTTCTCCTTCGCCTAGATGCCATCACCGAGGGCGACGAGTTCGGGCCGGGGGAGAACCTTAAGTTGTCCGAAATACACCGGTTCGAAAAGGAGGCAAATCTCTCCGTCCGATGGTCCCTAGTTCTCGCGCGGGCGTGGCTCGAGAACATCACCGTCACAAAGACCCATGTGACCCCGTCCGAGCCCCCGACGCCCAAAGGCTGGCTCACGTCGCTGACGAATAGGATGAGCCTTAAGCACGAGCATATGCACTTGGCGCACCATGTTGACCACACCCAATATCATCACAATCCCCAATCCGAGTATGTATATGCGATCCAGGGTAGGTTCCGCGAGAGGCAGGTCTACGGGTTGATGCATTTTGCGCGGAAACTGCGCTGGCCCGGCATACAATCCTCCGCTGCGAAGTTATCCGAGAATGCTATATCTCTGGACAAGATAACGCCTATCACCACGCCTCCTCCTACCCATGACACTCGACGTGCTTCGTACTTCGCCGGGGACAAGACGCCCGCGCACGGTAGAAAGCAGCCATCAAGGAGGCGGAAGGTGGAAGCGGCCCTGCACCCATCTGGCTGGTTTTCAAAATCGTACGTTTCGGGTTTGGTCCTACCGGGCGAGGGGTTGTCGCATTTTCTCATGTCGACGCTGCTCGAAGTGGACGAAGATGCGTTGACCAGTCTTGGCCCGATGGTGAACCTGTGTGGCGGGTTCGTCTACAGTGGGAAGAGTTTCTGGAGTACCGCTTGCATTGTTGGCCGCGTCCTAGCTGCCGGGCAGGGTGCCGCCGAATGTATGGGCTGGATTTCAAGCGATGTGACTCCCCAGGGGTTTGACAATGGCTGGATGAACATCGCAGCCGATGCTGTTCCCGGTAAGCTTGGGAAGATCTGACTTAATTTTGTTCCCTACTGCTTACACTGGTAGCCGATATTGCTCGGACGGGTAGGAAAGCTCGAATATGGGGCAAGACGACCATCGAACGGGAATCCGACGTCCTCGGCGACGCGGACCCTTCGAATGTGCTGCCGGCTGACTTCATCATTCCACACGAGAACACGTATGGCCGCCCGCCCCCTTCGAACATCAGGGTAGAGCTTAGGTCGCTCGACCTGGGCGCGTCGTTGGGTGGTGTGGGCGCGGCGCCTAACACAGACGAAGGAGTGTCCCTAATTTCGGATTCCAATGGGGAAAAGGGCCAAGAAATCCAGACCTTTCCTGCTTCTATCACCTTTACCATATCCCACGACACACTAGACCAGGACGAACACCATAGCTTTTCGCTTTCTAACGACGTCTACTTTGTCACCGCGCACCCATGCGTGGCGTCGAACCACGTAAAATATTTCAAGTCCCCGACTAGTCCTACCATTCAGCAGATCGACGTCGGCGGTTTCGATCTTAGTGGGACCTCCTCCAGCCTTGCACACATTACGGGTGAGTCTTCTCCTGTCCAGTCGCGCTTTTACTTACCAACACAAAGGGCAGGCCACCCACTCCATAGGTTCTACACTTACACGGCAATACACCTCACCGACCTCATCAGCAAACCCGCCGCCACCCTAGAGGACCTGTTGAAGCAAGACGTACTAAAGGGCCATTCGCGAAGCAACTCGACGTCTTCTTTCGCCGGGAACAAGCAGCCACGCGTCCTGGTCATCGACTGCGTTACGGGGTTCGCTCCGCCGCAGTCACCCGAGATGCCGTCGCTCTCGCGTATGTCCTCGCTCTCCTCCTCGTTTGGCCTTGAGCCCACAAGCTTGCCTCTCGTGCGGATGCCGACCTCGCCGGATATGGAACGGCGCCCGAGCACGGCGGCGTCGTCTCGAAGCCGGTTCGAGCGCATGGAGCCCCCGAGCCCGAGCCCGCACAGCGCCGAAGCGCGGATGCGGCTCGGCACGCGCAGGCGGCACTTCGGGTCCGATCTCGAGGTGCTAGCCCGTGCTCTCTGTGCCGAGAGAGGCTGGAACGCCGTGATCAGCCGCCGTAGGAGGGGCTGTCTGGCGTGCGCCATACGCGAGGCGGGAGCGCTCGGGTGGAAGGTCGTCGTCAGAGTCGAGTAGCTGGGGAGGCATAAAATGGGTTCCTGGCCACAAAAAGGGGAAAACAAGGAAGGAAAAAAGAAGAGGCAAGAGTGAGCAGTATTGGCGGCGGTAGAGAAAAGGGGAAGTGAGAGCAAAATTGCAACGTGATCCACGGATTATACAGATGGCGGAAAGGCATTTTCAACGGGCCTACCGCATACCAAGGCACATCTGCGTATGTAGAGACACGCGAGAGCGAGTGCTACGGCGAGGTGGTGGTGGCCTGAAGGCATACCCGTATCTAGCATGCGTAGGCAGTTACTATAGGAGTATAAAAGGGGACCGGGGTGGGGGCGGGGAGTCGTTTTGTGGGTAGAGGGGTCGGATAGAAGGGGAGAGGTGAAGTGCCGGTTGTTGTCTCGGCGGCCGCTGGCGCATTTTTTGTAGGTTTACGGATTCTCCGAGAGATACCCAGCTCCCTTTTGTCAACAAGCTACCTGTTAGAGTATTCTATCAGCCAAATACCAAGAAAACCCAAAATGATTGCGAAAGTTCAAGAGGGGAATAGAGAGGTGTGGCCTTGGCATGGCGTCAGCGACATCCCACGAGGCGGGGGGGGGGCATCGGCGGCCCCACGTGTGTTGTGCGTGTTGACAGCTATATATAGGTATCGACGGGGAACTCCCGAGCCCACATGAGAGGCTCCAAAGGACGGTTACGTCTGGTCTAACCAGTCCCAGTTTTAAAAGGAACAACAGGTGGGCACGAACGGGGCCGCTGGTCGCAAATTATGTTTTGTTGCTACTATTTTATCCTAACTGCGTCGCGGAGTCTGCCAACCGCCTATTCTAGGTAGGGGTTATCCGATTCTATCACATTCTCGCTAGTTCCCGCAACGGCCTCGCCGAATACAAATGAAAACGGGCACGACGAGCCGAGCTTTACATAGTGGAGGTGTTCCTGCCGGACACTTCGCACTGAGGGGCCTACGTAGTGTTGAGGGGGAGGGGCCGGCGCGCCAAATGCCAGATCGCCGTGTTGTGGGACGCCCCGAGGGCGTGTGCTGTTTCGAGTGAGGCGACGGTGACTCGAGACGGGGAGCGTCCCGCGAGCTATCTAGTAGGTCTGGGGCTCCGACGGGGGGCGGCGGGTGCTAGTCCCAGGGGCCCGCGGGGGCTGCGGCTCCGGCTGGGACGACAGGACATAGTTAACACACCTGACGGCAACGTTGTCGCCGAACGACGAATACATGGTGTTGACGCGGCTGGCCTCCTCGTCGCGGACGCCGGGCGGCCAGGCCTCGAAGGCGTCGAGGTGCTTGAGCATCCGGACGGCGAGCATGTTGATGCCCACCAGGGGGTTCGTGCCCGGCGTCACGGCGGCCGGGACGGCGTTCTGGAACGCCTGCCGGGTCACCTCCCAGGTCTGGTCGGGGGCGAGCGAGGCGCCGGCAAAGATTAGCCAGAACAGCTTCTCCGCGTCTTGGGGCTTCCAGGGGCCCAGAAGCAGGGCGTCCGGGATGCGGGCCTCCTTGTGCACGAGCCAGGCCGAGCGCGGCTTCGGGAGGGGAAGCTTGAACCGGCAGAAGTCGCCAAATTCGGTCGAGAAAGCGCGGGGGATGCCGCTGAGGTTGCCGGAGCGGCCCCAGTCGCTCGCGTACGGCCGACGCACGTCTCCTCTGTGTTGTCTGACCCAGAAACCCCAGCATTCGTGGATGAAGGCGACGGTGATGGAGGAGTGCTCCAAGAGCGAGGACTGAGGGGGTTGGTTAGTTCGAAATGCGTTTAGGGAGTGAGGAAGAGGGGCGGGGGGGGGGAAGATGATGATGATGAAGATGATGAAGAGGCACTGGCGGAACAACTACACGTACCTGAAACCCTGGATCGCCTTCATACCACACTGAACTAGTGTCGTCCTGGTGACTGGGGAGTTCGGACGTCTCGATGTCGCGGTATCCGTAGCGGAAGTCCCAGGTCGGGCCGAAGGCAGCGATGACGATCCCTCGCCGTGTCGACTCCCCGGAGAGGAAGCGGCCGAGGAGAGGGCTGGCACGGGCCAGGTTGACATTTTCGCTCTCCCAGAAGATGCGCTCCATGATCTCGAGCGGGATCAGACTCTCTAGGAGCGACGCCTTCGGCTTGGGGGCCGGCTGCGGCACCGACTCGGGCTTGGACTCGGACTTGCGTTTCAGTCTCTTCCGAGACTGGGCAGGGACGACGACGGGGTCGTCGGAGCGCGGGCGGCGGCGTTTGGCGGGGCCCTTTATGGGAGTTAATTTCATCGGCAAGGATGCCGAAGCGGTAGCGGATGTAGCAGTAGTCGATGGATGTCAAGTGTCTTGTCTTAGGGATGCGTGCGGGACGAGACTAAAGAGAGGGGAGAGGGGGATGAAGGAGGAAGATAGGCAGTTGGTCGACCGGGCATCTTGATGAATATTTATGTACGTGATAGCAGGGTAAGAGGACGGGAAGAGAAGCGGCCAAAGGCAGCGGGCGGACTACTGGACGAAGAACGTACGCAGACAAGAAAACGGGCATTATCCTCTCTATCTCGCAGACCGAGGCGCCTGGTGGAGAAAAGGTAACAGGTTACGTGGAACCCGTGCTTTGGGTCTGGCAGGTAACGTGGGGTGTTACCTGCTACTGCGTCGTAGTGTGTGTGAGAGAGGGGTGACAGGGGTGGGCACTACTAGGTATGCATGTAGGCACCTTATGAAGAGGTCCGCAGGCACAACGTTTTTCCACCCCCGCTTGCCCCCTGCCTTTCCGTCTACCACCGGCACCTTTTTTTCTTGATTTGCGTCTCAACACTCACTAATTTCGCACGGCTAGTATCCACAATCCTGTCGGCGACCTTTTTTTTTTTTTTTTCCCCTCCCCCTCTCCCTCCTCAGCAGGCCGAAGGCAACTCTTAACCCCGAAGAAGTTGGAAACCACGGATTTTGTACTCCTCTAGGCTCCCTCCAGCAGGAGACAATGGCAACCCTACATCCGACCTGGCTCTGGTAACGTCTTCTCCCCGTTGCCTCCCTCGAGGTCTCGCTATGGCGTCGTTGCACCCCCCCGCGCCCTCTCTTCGGCTTCTCAGATTCCTCCGTCTCCAGTCCGAAAATCTTAGTTATTTCAGCCCCAACAGCGCCAGTGCCCCGGCACAGATCGCCTGCAAGGCGCTTTGCGCTTTGCGCAGACAGCAGAGAGACCCCGCGACGAGGCCTTCCTCCGATGTCGTCCTGAGGGCTGGCCTGCTCGACTTGGACTCGCTCCTGGGAACCCGCCCCGGCCTGCCGAGGTATATCCACCGGAAGCATCTCAATTATTCCTACGCGACCGTCGGCGCGCGCCACGTCGCCTCCAACCAGACGCCGACGCCGTGCAAACCCACCTGGCGGGACAAGCTCCGGGTCCCCAAGACCGGCAAGGGCGCCAAACCGCTCGAGCCGGACGATATCCCAGAAGGAGAGGGGACCGGCGACAACAATTCCATGTTCAGCACCCGCCGTCAGCTTAGCCAGAAGGCGGCGCTCGAGCCGAGACTGCGGTGCACCGAGGTCGACGAGAACGGCGACGTCGTGCTAATGGATGGCGAGTTCAAGAAGAGCGAGCTTATCGCAAAGGTTGGTTCGTTGGGTGACGGCGAAGATCCCGACCGGACAGCTAGCAGATACGGCCGCTAACCCGGCATAGTTCGGTCTCCTGCCTCGCGACCTGCGCAAGATCGATTCTTCCAATCTGCCGCACATCCTTGTCCGTCCGACCGCCATCCTCCTCAACCTGCTGCACCTCAAGGTGCTAATCAAATACAACAGCGTCCTCTTGTTTGACGTATACGGCTCCAAAGCCTCCTACCCCCAGTCCGCCTTCATGTACGACCTACAGGGCAAGCTGCAGCAGAAGAACCAAAACAACGGGGGCTTGCCGTACGAGTTCCGCGCTCTCGAGGCCGTCCTCCAGTCCGTCACGCAGGAGATGGAGGCCGATTTCGAGGCCGTCCGCGACCCAGTCATCCGCATATTAAGCGAGCTCGAGGACGACATAGACCGGCACAAGCTGCGCATCCTCCTCATACTATCCAAGCGAGTGAGCACTTTCGAGCAGAAGGCCAAGCTCGTCCGCGACGCCATCGAGGAACTTCTCGAAGCCGACGACGATCTGGCCGCCATGTATTTAACCGAGAAGACACGCGATATCGTCCGCCCCCTCGATGACCACACCGAAGTGGAGATGCTTCTCGAGTCCTATCATAAGCTTTGCGACGAGATCGTCCAGGAGGCGCAGAATCTAGTGTCGAGCATTCGGAATACCGAAGAAATGTGAGCCTGCGAAAAACTTTCTTTCCCTTGGCCCCCGCAGTCCGGTGCCGCCTGTCCGTGGGTTATATGAATTCAGCTAACGGCGCACGTGCAGCATCCGCGCGATCCTGGACGCGAACCGCAACTCGCTCATGCTGCTGGACCTCAAGTTCAGCGTCGGGACGCTGGGGCTGGCGATGGGCACGTTCATCGCGGGACTGTACGGCATGAACCTCGAGAACTTCATCGAGGAGACGACCTGGGGCTTCAGCGCCATCACGGGCGCTTCGGTGCTCTTCTCGCTGCTCGTGTGCAGGTACGGCCTGCTGAAGCTGCGCAAGGTCCAGCGCGTCAAGATGCAGGGCGAGACCAAAGGGCTCGACAACGAGTACCATTGGTTCCACGACGAGGGCCATGTCGGCCTGCTCGACCCGCGCAACCGTGAGAAGCTGAGGCGCCTCAACATGCTGAAGCAAGACAAGAAGAAGAAGGGCTGGCTCGACTCGTCGCGATAAGGATGAGAAGAGTGTGTATGTGCGCCAACGTGCGATTCTACAAGACGAGGCGAGACGAGACGAGACGAGACGAGACACGCCCTTCGCGAGGACCATGTTATGTGCGTGTCGAAGAGACGGCGGGTTTCTCGGATTTGACCCCCGGGCGTCACGGAGGGGACAGGAAAGGGGAGGGGGTTATTATATGCATTGCTTGGCGTTACGGCAAGGTCGGGCCTCTTCCCGGAAAAGCAAGGAAAAGAGCAAAAGGGGGGGACTGGTAACTAGTATCTCGTCTCTGCGCCTCCGTCTCCGTCTCCGTCTATCTCTCCCTTCTTCCTTTTTTTATTTGTGCGTATGTACGTGTATTAGACAGGGAGGGGGCCCTTCTAGAAGATATTCTCTCATCTCACATATAGACAGACTCTAGGGACAACGAGGCTGTGCCCGTTATCGACCGCTAAGTCGGGTCGGGTTCGCAACTTGCCTAGCTTAGGTTAATCGTTGCTACTCATGTAATGATATTGTTTCCTGTCGCCTGTACAGCAGGCATGTACTACGTTGATGTCGTGGATGCTTGCTCCCCCCTCAGACTTTGGGAGGAGATGGAAGTAAGAAGAAGCCGAGGGGTGACATGGCATATAGATGCTGTATAGTTGTGTATATATAGTAGAGAAAGACTTCTGAATAGAAATATGTCTACATACAAAACACGTCTCGCTCCCCCCGGTTTTCCCTGTTCCCCCCTTTTTTTTCTCTAGTGGGCCGATACGGAGGCCCTAGAGGGGTCGAAGAAGAAGAAAGTATAATCCGATATCTCCCCACCCCATCGCGTCTCCTTCTCTCCCCGTCTGCATCCAATCCCCCACCAGCCACCGCCCTCCACAACCACCTCCGGCCACTTCTTCTTCTTCTTCTTCTTTTCCTTCCTGGCGGCGACCCTTCGCGGGCGCTCGCTTTTCCCGCTCACAGCTCGTCGCCGTCGTCGTAGTCGTCGCTGTCGTACTCGTCGGCGGGGCGGGAGACGGGCGGGAGCACGACATCACCATCGTCCTCTCCCTCGTCGTCCTCGAGAAGGAGGCGGACCTGGCCGGCGCCGAGCTCCTCGACCTTGACGGCGGCGGAGCTGGCGTAGCCCCAGGTGACGCGGACGCGGCCCTTGTCGAGGGGGGCGAGCTGGCGGAAGACGGCGGGGCTGACGTCGATGGAGCCGCTGGCGCAGCCGGGGCACTTGTCGACGACGGTGGCGGTGGCGGTCTTGCCCTGGTAGTGGATGCTGATCTTGCGCCCGCACACCTTGGCCTTGTTCGGGTTCGCGTCCCGCCCGTACTGCGCCGGCGACAGCGCCACGATCCGGTCGCTCTCCTTGTTGTACTTCCCGCACGCGCCCAGCCCCGGCGTGTAGTACGTCATGTCGCCCGCGTACGCGAGCGCGCTGCCGGCGGCGGACAGCGCCGCGAGGAGGAAGGCGGCGGGGCGCATCGTGGGTGAGACGGGAGTTGGGAGGAGGAGTTTGCGGGGGGGGGTTTCTCTGTGGTTGTTGTAGCGACGGTGTAGATGTGAAAGTGTGCTGGGAGTCCGCGATGGCGAGGAGAGGAGAGATGCTTCGACGAGAGGCTGTCGAAGAACTCTTATATATCCACGCAGACCCTCGCCGACGTCTTACGTCGGCACAGGGGTGATATATGCTCGCAAGAAGGCTCCTTTTCCTACTCTCCCGATCACCAGGCACCGTTCTCACTATTTCCGACCCGTAGCTCCCTACTACTGATCTCCTCTAGGCCCATCGTCCCGCACCTGGCGTCAAGCTTACCGGCTTACCAATCTAGAGCGTACGTAGAGCTGTCTAGGTATGAGTATTAGACAGAAAGGGGTGAAGTTGCGAGCGGGTGTGCTACGAGTCTCACGACGATAGATTCGATCCCGCCCTTTCTACCCCCCTTGCCCGTGGACATCGCACCTAGGTATTGTGCTGTCGCCGACATCCTCAGCGAGTTCGCGGCTCGCGCCCCCTCGGCTGACCTACCCGGCGTACAGCTTGACGAAGCTCAATGAGAGCAAGAGGAAGCTGGGTAGCCCGCTTACGTCACCCGAGACGCGGTGAGGAGCGTGGAGTTATGGTAGCGTGATGGAGAATGACGGCCGTCAGCGCGAGGCCAAATCCGGAGTTGACATTCACACAATGGGCGGCGCCCGGTTAGGAGATGTCAGGTTATGAGGCCCGCGCGAGGTCCGCCCCGTACCACCGCGGGCATAGCTACACGCTCGCGGTTGCTAGAGCCCAGCCCAGGCCCCCCTTGCTCCGGCAATGGACCGATATATTATTTGCGGAATAGATATATCGAGGCAGTATTGCTGCGTCAGACTTACAACAACCCAACGAACTAGAGGCAGTTTCGACATTCTAGGTATGATGGGAATATCGCACTCACGTCCTGCTTACACCGGGTGTGAGCTCTAGGACTTTCGAGTCACTACTGTCCCGGGCTGCACCACGGAGAAGAACGAGAGAAGAGTAGCAGCCCATCTCAACATCCTCCTATTCCAAGGCTGTTCTGCTACGTGTACTCCCTTTCCCGAACTCCCCCCCAAGCTAGAATCTGTCGTGAAAGCCTAGGGACGACGTAAACGCGGATGACAGTTGAGCCCGTCTCGCCACTAGAATGCTATCTATTCTCGGCGTTCGACAATTACACGTAGTCATCAATACATCAATATTTACCTAGTCCTTTAGCCCTCGAAGGAGCACCAACGAGTCACGAGCAGGTGAGACTATTATCTTGATGCTGACGCCACCCCTGAATATCCAAGGGGCAGTCTGACGCTTCTGCTTCCGGCTCGATAGTTTGCTTCTCGGGTCTTGGCCCTCGGCTTACTATGGTCTCCCTATAGTTACATTCTATGTTATGGGGTCTCCAGCATATATGCCTTGCCTGCGTCCCATCCGGGTATGTGGGCGCTCGGTAGATCGACGTGCATGTAAATCCGGATACCTCCTGCTTCCACTCCATTTGCTATTCTCTTGATCCCCCCCCCCCTTTTGAAGTACCCGTCTCTCGGCATGCTAATAGTCATCTCGTCATGCCTTGCCTGGGATGGGGCTTCCTTTGTCTGATTCGTCCGGCTACGACGAGGAGTCTATAAGATCAATTTGTGATACCTACCTACCTAGATGTAAGCTGGTCCAGACAGGCCCCTCGCACAGTACCGGGAAGGTCGCTAATGCATACGCTCGATCATACCACTCTAAAGCCTCGGCAAAAAGGTACTGTTTAAAAAAAGAACAGGATATGTTCTGACATTCATGGCAACTTGCTAATATATAGAAATAGATATTCGATAATAAACCACTGTTGCTCTCCTCTCCAACCACCAACTGCGGGACCTACCTAAATCGGGCACGACCCTGGATTTGATATCAGGAATAAACGGGTGGCTCCGTGGACGAGCAGACCTCCCCCTCCCTTAAATATATCGCCAACATCAGACCCTGCCAAACGACCGCCTCCCGAACGTGGTGCCGTCCTTTTCACCTGCCTCTGAGATGAGAGTCAGCTAACATCATCGATATGATATACAGCGAGATACCCCCAACGCTACACTGCGTGTGTTTACACATCTACTATATAGGTAGGTAATTGCCGCTTTATGTACCACTCACTCACTTCTTCGGCCACCGCACCACGATACAAACGTTCTACAGGGCGACAGAGATAGATAGGTACATTGATGGATAGATACCTTCCGCACGTGTATTGCCGCTCGCCCGTCGACTCTACGCCGGCTCCGTAGTTGAGATGATCAAATAGAGACCGCCGCGGCAGAGAATGCGAACACCCGTAGTCTCTAGACGAAAGCACAGCACGAAGAATGGCGATGCGAGATAGATGCATGCGTGCATGTTCCTGCGCTCCGAGGTATTCGAATCTATCCTAACGGACCGATTCTATTCTACATATCCTGCCTCCCCTCCCCCCGTACCGCCTACGCCTCCCCTTGCCCCCGTATACATTCCAGGTCAGGCCAGGCAGGGCCCTAATATCCCACCTCTCCAATGTATATATGCTGATCTCTAGACCTGACCCGGGGATTCTCTAGCTTACACAAGGGTGGGTTGGGTGCACATCCCGGCAGGGGAGGTACATGCTAAAACCGACATCATTCGAAGGTGTTACAATTTCCTATCAGACAGCATCGTCGCTCCCCGGCGCTCTTGACCGGCCGGACGGCCCGCTGCCTCTCTCTTCCCGGCGACGCCACTTCGACGGATTCCACGACCACGAGGATGATGACTGTTGTTGTGCCCGCTGGCTGCTTTCCCCGCCCCTGTTACCTCCGTCAACCCCGCTCTCCGGTGGCAGGAGGCTACTGTTGCTCATCACCGCTACCTCCTCCGCGCCCCTGAAGCCGAGGCCGCCACTCGTGTACGGTCGCCCATTCCCCCGCCGCCACCACTTAAGCTTCCAGACCCCGCCCAGAGCATCCTGTTGGACCCCGCTGCCGCCGCCGCTAGTTGAGCTCTTCCTCCGTGCGTGCTTCCGTGCCGTAAACCCTGGGAACCCTGTGGACTTTCGTCGTCGCCTCTGGAAGAACCTTCGCGGTGACTCGGCCCCACTGCCTCGTTCTATCGTGCTTGGCGACGCTACTGTCATTTCTCCCGACACGGCCCTCTTGGCGCCTAGCAGCGGTACAGCCTCGCTGCTGGAGGGGCCGCCGGGCGCGGTGCTCGACCTAGTCCTATTGAATGACGGCGACTTTGATCCGTCCCGGTCTTCCAATTCGCCCCATATTTCCGCGCGCTCGTGCCAGCGGCTCGGCAGCTTGTGGCCCGGCGTAAGAGGGGTGCTCTCGCCATTTGGCGTAAACGTGTTGTATATAAGAGGCACCGACTCGTCGACGTCGGCGACCGATTCAGTGTCCGTGGGCGACGATTCTTCTCCTTCGGTGTCGTCCACGAGGCCAAGCCCCGGGGTGAGGCTCGACTGTCCAACAGCCGGCTGGTGCTGTTCGTCGCTGAGACGCCACGAAAGCGCCAGGACGCCGGAGAGCAAGATGACGGTGCCTAGCGCAATGAGCCCGCCATGCAGGGGCGTGATAAGGTCCGTCTGGCGAAAGTAGATCAGACCGTCTAGAATAGCAATGATGTTGTAAATGCAAAATACAAGGGGGTATAAAACGGAGGTAGAAATAAGTTTCAGTCCGCGATGAAGGTAATACAGCTGGCTCAAAGCCACCGAGACCAGTCCCAGAACCAGAACCCACGACTCCCAGTGCACGAATTGGTTGTCGCCGTCTGCGATCGTCACCAAGATAAGCTCGACGGCGGATTTTGCGAACAGCAGAGAGTGGGCTGAGAGGATGCCGCTGATGCAGCCGAAGACGAGACCTCGGGCGAGGCGGAACCAAGGGGCCTGGGAGAGGCTGCTAAGGTGGTTTACCAGTTCGATTAGTACTGCGAGTGTGATGACAACGACGGCCTGGAGCGACATCCAGACGATGAAAGCCTTGCCGCCGAGCAACTCTAGCAATTCTGGCAGGGTATGTGCCGGGGAAGGGATCGCGCCGAAGATGGCGATCAAAGACGCGCCGGTAGTGACGAGGGCGGTCCCGTAGAAGGACCACCTCGTGAAAGGTTCGCCCAGTATCAAGGTGGCGCATACCGAGTTGAAGACCAGGCCAGCGGCCTGTAGGGTGGATAGAACTGGTAAAGGCAGTGTGGAGATTTGGATGGAGCTCCCTAACACGTTGGATATGATGAACATGCCCATTCCCAGCTGCCACCTGCGTCTCCTGTATGGGGGTCTCTGTACTTCGTGCGGACCCTTCTCATCTTCGAGCATGTGCGACTTGCGCTGCAGGGTGAGGCCGAGGGACTGTACGCTCGTAGATATCAGGCCGACTATGATACCAATCTGGGGATAGGCGGAGCAAGTTAGCGACAGAGACGGGAGAGGAGAAGGAGGGGAGGGAGACCATGTAGCAAAAACATACCGCAATGGTGCCTCCAGGGGAGAGGTCACCGAATACACCCATCGCGATGGTCTATCGGAGGGCTCATCTGTGATGCTTGGCCGATGGAAGAACGCCCCAGCTGCCCATCTGCGATGTTCCTTTATGCGGGATCCCGACAGCCTACAGCCTCGGAGTCTTATATTGCGTATGCAGGCAGATGGCGGTATGTATGGGTGGATGTGTGCGCGGGTAGTGGCAGGCCGTTGTAGAACTCCGGAAAGGGGAGGTATAACAGGCGAGTGCGATTGCGGTGACGGTGGTGCAGAAGAAATGTAGCGGTGCGTCTCGATCGAAAGATGAAGGGGATGTGAACGTGTGTGCAATGATGCCGTACCGACGCTAGTAAGGGCCCGGGCAGGGGGATCGTGGCCGTCGAAGAGGCGGTATTGATATCGCACCGTAGCTTGAGGGGGGGCTTGGGACGGAGAGTACGGATAGCAGATCGCAGTCGAATGATTTCTCGTCGTGATAGTAGTGTTGATCTGTCGTGGCAGCGGAAGCGACAGAATTGGACAAAGGGGGTGGGGGATGTCGCCTTGGCAGACAGAGACACACAATGTACGGAGGACGGGGAATGAGAAATATATCAAGAGTAAGAGGTCGGCATGCGAATCATTCGGTCGACGAGGGACGTTGACTAGAAGAGGAAAAAAAAGAGGTATAATTAGTAGGATAACTCTAAATACGTAGGGAGGTAAATATCAAGGAGGAGGGAGTGGCTGCTGTAAAGCCAGCAGCGGCTTCAGGGAGGGTGTGCCGAGTGATGAATGATTTGATGATGGCATTTGCACCTAGGAGTCGGGCGAACTTTTACTGACTGCAGGTGGATGGATGGATACAGCAAGAGGTACCTACCGAACCTATGGGGGGACGTACCTTGGGGGTTGTACTCGGACCCTAGAGGTTAGGTACCTTGCCTAAAAGGTACTCTGGAAGGTAATTCTCTCTTACTTCCAATATTACCTACCTGGGTACCTTAATGCATGCATCGCATGCCACAACTACGGCAGCAGCACGTCTGTCTACTTATAGGCTCATTCGCATCCAGCATGGGAGGATACGTGAGGATGGACGGTATCTACCTACCTGTAGGCAGTAGGCCAGAGGACGATACAGACATGATACCTACATATACCTATTACTGGATAACGGCAGAGAGGACCTGCAGCAGATATGGTGGGCCTACGGGTAGGTTATGTACCTCATAGTGGGCGTACGCTAGGAGGTAGGTAGGTAGGTAGGTACATCCGGCCGGGTAGGTACATTTCTTGCAACTGCACATACCACATACCTGCGGTCCTCTTACGGGCAGGCATCTGAGATAGGCACCTAAGGTACCTTCTATCGCAGGTACGCCTTAGGTACCTCCGTACATTGGGCACCTCCAGTAGGATAGCAACAGGTATTAAACCTTGCGTGCTCTGCTTAGGTTGCGCCGAGGGCAGGTTGCGTCGAAGGGCATGGTCATCAGCAAAGGCACTGATGACATGTCTAGATGGTAACTTATGCAACTCTGTACAGGTCACGAATCTGCCACTAACCATTCCTTCGTCTCGTGCCTCGGGTCAAGTAGGTCGATAAGGCGCTGAAGGCTACCAGCAGACATTGGGCACTGACAGCGTTCAGGTCCACGTCCAGAGAGGCCTGCCACAGTGGGGTTACACTGCCTTAGTGCCGCCTTAGTGAGGTTTGTAGTTCAACTGGTTCAGTCGCATGTTTACTGAGTATAGAGGCTCTCACGGGGTCTGGCTGGCTGGCTGGCCTCCCTAGAGCTATCGACCGCCACCGACGAGATAGATCACAGGCACCGGGGACTATATCACAAGCATAGGCTGGAGAGTCACTGCCACTGCTGCTGCAACCTGCGTTATACCTATAGGGACCTAGGTAGTAAAGCACGCATGCATACCTATACATCCTTACCTACATCCTTACGTGGGTTGCTGGTGACCTCGAGGCCTGGTGCTTTGATGTTCAGTTCACCTCTGCCTTGGTCCACGTAGTCAGGTTATCCACTATCAGGCCGGCGCTAAGCGATCCGATTCCCTCATTCAGAGCCGGGGAGCGGAACGCCCTCGGAAGACCGAAAACCACTTCCAGCCACATTATGTAATCTGCTTGGGGCAGGGGTGATCTATTTCTGATCCTGTTTTCTGCAGTATAGTATACCTATAGATTATGTGATGTCGACCCCGAAAGACACGTGAAAAGTCAAAGTACCCAGGTACTTACCCGTACTCATCCTATCCGGAGGATAGTTATAATACGCATAACCCCCTGTTATACTAATTAATTACGGGGTTAAATATCCCTATAAATAGCCCTGTAAATAACCCTATAAATAACCCTATAAATAACCCTATAAAGGGGTATTATTTAGGGGAAACTTTATTTTTACTAGCTAAAAAACGCGCTATGGGTCCCTAAAAATACGTATACCTAATAAAAACGACGGGATAAATAGAGGTTTTCTTATTTAGCGTATCCTTATTACCCCTTAAGATTCCTACGTATATTTATTAACGCGTTTATTTATACGTTTTTATTTTTATTTATATAATTCCTATTCTTTTCCGTATCTTATAATCTATCCTTATAATCTATCTTTAGTTTAATTAAAATAAAATCGCTTTAAGTTAAAGAATGTCGTACTTACGGAAGAATTTAAGCCATCGAATAATTTATTAATCTACGAAATTACGCTATATCTATAAAAAATTATCTCTCTTGCCGCGAAAATATACGCCGTCCTACTTAGGTTAATATTTTATATTAATAGTTTATACTTTATCGTTAATTTTATATAGGATTTCCGATCCGATCTTACGCTTAAAACGCTTTAACCGGTTCCGCGATTAAATGTTACCTATTATCGATTATATTTTACTACCGCGTAGCCTCGGGTATATAGTTTAAGCGCTAAAGAAATAACTTTACGCGTAGGTAACGTATTACGATAATAAATTCGAAGACGGTATAAAATAACCCGACGTAATAACGGTAATCCTTTTCCTATTCCTTTACTTTCTTCGTTAATAATATAATTATAACTAACGGATTTAGCGGTAGCGTTAGAACTAACGCCCCGAGGACGACCTCTTCGAATACCTACGCGAGAATTAACTCGTCGAAACCGACCTTTACGTACGCTTACGTTAAAATAAGCGCGAGAATTAATTCGTCGAGGCCGACCTCTACGTACGCTTACGTTAGAATTAACGCTAGAGCTAGTTCGTCGAGGCTAACCTTTACGCGCGTTTATGTTAGAATTAACGCTAGAGTTAGTTCGTCGAAGCCGACCTTTACGCGCGTTTACGTTAGAATTAATATTAAAATAAGTATAAGTACGTTAAGGCCGACCTTTACGGCCCCTTACGCTAAAATCCCTTACGCTAGAACTAACGCGAGAGTAACCGCGCCTAGGCCGACCTTTTAATTAGACCTTTCCTTTAAATACCGCTCGCTCTTAAGAACTTAGTAGCGTTTTTAATCGTTAAAGCTCGTTTATAATTAAGCCGCTACGGTAGGAGGAAGACCTCGACGTTAGCGTAATTAGCGATACCGATTACGCGATTTTAATACGGTTTTAATTAACGTTAAAATAGGAACGACGTAAATACTATAGTTATTACGGGGAATATTAATTTAATATAGATCTAAATACCGCGGATATCTATAAGCGTTATCGTAATAAAAACTAGAAGAAACGCGTAAATAAGCCCTTCTTTTTTAACGTAAGTAACTATCTTAACTTTAATATCCTTTCTTTTTTTAATTTACTACTAGAATTAATAATAATCGAAGAATTATTTATTACGCGGGTTTACGTAATAATAAATATACTTATAATCCGCGGCTAGTAATATAAATATCGTAGTTACGTCGTATATTTTATACGTAACGTTAATAAAGTATACGATTATTTTCTCCTTCTCCCTTAGTATCTTAATATCGTTTTATTACGCCTACGCGAACTAGCGTAAAATCCCGAGTAAATAACCTAGTTTCGAACTAAGTTTAAAGTACGCCGGCGCGTTATCGAGATATAGCTTAAGTATTTAAAATATAACTATCCGGGTTATAAAGACTTTAAATGAAATCGCGTCGCGCTAGAAGAGCTACCTAACGACGGTAATGTTTTTAAGTAGCTTAATATTTAAGACTTCGTCGATAACGGTTAAGCGCTCTAGGCTAGCTTAATTACGGAAGGCGACCTAAAAGAATTAAAGGCTTAATACGATAAATCTATTATACTAAACGTTACGTTAGAATAAATTAAAATGAAACGTTTAAAGTTAGAATTAAAGGGGGCGTTTATTTTTAAAGGTTATTCCGTTAAGCTTATAAGTACCTACCATTTATCTATGCCTTTTATTTGTTAAATCCTTATTAACGAGTTTATACGTTTAATTACGTTATTTTTACTAGCGTTTCTTACTTTATTTCCGCGTAAAAAAGCTAAATTTATATATCTAAGGTAGCGTAAGATCGATTTCGACGATTAGGTATAGTACGTTATACGTTAACGCAATAATTAATTCGCGTAATACCTTACTTTCCGCTTTATCGCGCTTAATATATTTATACGCTAATAAGCGATAGTAATAAGTAAATATTTCGTAAGGAAAAAAGGCGCCTAGTAATAATAAATTACGCGATAAAATCTCGAGTAAGCGTTAAAAAACCTTAAGAGTACCGAGGTTAATACGTTATTAAGAAGTATTACGCGCGTTATAATTTATTTAAAGGATACGCGGCCTTTTTAGTTTAAACGAAAACGCGAATACGTTACTTTTACTAAGTACCTCGGGGTTCCTAGCGCTTTTCTTATCTTAAGCCTTATTAATCTTTATTAGCGGAGCCTTTTTTAATATATACTACGCTTTTAAGAATAGCTTTCCTTCTTTAAAATCTAACGCATACGCTTATCCCGCGAGTTATTAAAAACTAATCCTTATATTACCGCGTAATATTTTTACGCTCGGAATTAACTCTTTCGTAATATCGTTTTAATTAAGAAGTTCGGCTTACGCGATTATTAATATCGATACGAATTTTAAAGGCGTAAAAGTACGTATTACTACGGGTTATTTTAATTCGAAGGTAATCCGTTACCTAATATAACCTCTTTCGAATAGCGCTAAAACTACGTTCGTATTTAGAGCTACTACGCCTTTGCGGTTAACCTAGAGCCGCGCCGGCGCTTAGATTAAAATAAGGGTAATTCGTTCGTATTACGGCCTTTAGACGCGCGGCCGTCGTTTCGTTAGCTCT